CCGCCACGGGCCAAGGTACCCACCTCCGTAGTAGTATTCTGCTCACGATTGCAGGATGACGACGACACGTGACTCGCGAGTAGATCAACACTTCCGCCGGTTACTGGTTATTTAGGCCCTGCACCGTAACTTTTATCTTTTATTTTTATTTTCCATATTTTTTTTTTTTTTTTTTTTTTTTTCCAGTTTTTTGGTCCGCGGGGAATATACTATTCCCAGGTGGTGGACCAATCTGCCCTCCCTCAGCTTAAGTGAAATTAAAGCTGGGAGAGGACAGATGGTCCATCACCACCCCCTATCCGCCACCCGGGGACGCGCTCGGTAGGAAAAATCTGGAAAACTCCCCCGAGAACTAACTAACTAACTACTAACTAACTAACTAACTAACTAACTACTAACTAACTACTAACTAACTACTAACTAACTAACTAACTAACTAACTAACTAACTACTAACTAACTAACTAACTAACTACTAACTAACTAACTAACTACTAACTAACTAACTAACTAACTAACTAACTAACTAACTAACTAACTAACTAACTAACTAACTAACTAACTAACTAACTAACTAACTAACTAACTAACTAACTAACTAACTAACTAACTAACTAACTAACTAACTAACTACTAACTAACTAACTAACTAACTAACTACTAACTAACTAACTAACTAACTAACTAACTAACTAACTAACTACTAACTAACTAACTAACTAAACTACTAACTAACTAACTAACTAACTAACTAACTAACTAACTAACTAACTAACTACTAACTAACTAACTAACTAACTAACTAACTAACTAACTAACTAACTAACTACTAACTAACTAACTAACTAACTAACTAACTAACTAACTAACTAACTAACTAACTAACTAACTAACTAACTAACTAACTAACTAACTAACTAACTACTACTAACTAACTAACTAACTAACTAACTAACTAACTAACTAACTAACTAACTAACTAACTAACTAACTACGAACTAACTAACTAACTACTAACTAACTAACTAACTAACTAACTACTAACGACTAACTAACTAACTAACTAACTAACTAACTAACTAACTAACTACTAACTAACTAACTAACTACTAACTAACTAACTAACTAACTAACTAACTAACTAACTAACTAACTAACTAACTAACTAACTAACTACTAACTAACTAACTAACTAACTAACTAACTAACTAACTAACTAACTAACTAACTAACTAACTAACTAACTAACTAACTAACTAACTAACTAACTAACTATTAACTAACTAACTAACTATTAACTAACTAACTAACTAACTAACTAACTAACTGACTAACTAACAACTAACTAACTAGCTAGCTAGCTAACTAACTAACTCACTAACTAAATAACCTAGATTTTTCTATTTCCTCTCTAAATATGATTTTCATAAACAGACGGACAGATATTTCGTGCAGAAAATTTGTTTAACAAAATGGCTTGCGAACGCAATAAGTTATATATCCTACACTTCTTTAGTTGGGAAAGTTTGTGCTGATGCTTGTAACGCACCGAATGTTTAACATCGTCCATTATTTCATTTTACCCCCTAACAGCCCTTAATAGGGCTTTTGAGATCATTATTATATTAGTCTCGGTCCATACTTCTCCCAAGCAATCCTTTTAAAAACATAGTTTTTCAACATTTTTACAAATCTCTTTCAACTTCCAATACCTTTAAAGTTCCTTCATCCAGATACAAGCTTTAATTTTATAACATGTTCCACTTTGCACAGTTCTGCTTTATGCAAACATGCTAAAAATTGTTGAGAATAAATGAATGAATGTAAATCAATTTGTATAAATTGATTTGTATCCTCCATACAAGCACAATCTCTACTCGATCTCTTTCTTACGCTCTTAGTATTTCGTATGTTTTTCACAAGTCTTTGGATTTACTAGGTATGTATATTTTTACATTTGTATTGTAAACTACATTGAATCTTTAAATAGCTGCGTGTACTTTTATCAAAAGGACCAATAAATATGTACATATTTTTAACGATAAAAAGGAATTTATATAAAACATAAAAAATATATAAGGAAAATTCAAAAGAAAGCAAGTATTTGCATGCAATGTACATAAATGCGTATTTATTAAGTCATGCATCGGAAATTAAAAAAGCAAGTGCAAATAATGCAAAATTAACAGTTTTCGGTTGAGTTAGTTTTTTCAGGAAATTAAATTTTAAATCTTTTTTTTCTTATCAATTTAATAAATCACTATGTATAAGGAAGAGTAAGTGTTTTTAGCGAAAAATTAAATTTAAATTTTAAATTCAGTTCTTTTTTTAATTACTTTATTTCTATTAAACAGACAGCTGTCAACTTTGACATATTATTATT